TCTTTGTTCTCCTATTCAGATCAGTTTTCACATTGAACTGAAAAGTAAATATTATTTGGAATAAAAATTTTTTTCCTTTTATTTAGCTCAATCTCAACATAAAATGAATGGTCGGTACTATTTGATATAAATTTTCTTTTGTTTCATTCAGACCACTTTCAACACCAACATGAACAGTAAGTATTATTTGAACTAAACAATTTTTTCTTTTCTTTAAGTTTATCTGAAAATGGAAATGAACGGTAAGTAATATTTGAGAAAATAAATTTTTTTTCTTATCTTCGGTAAATGTGGAGAAGAAAGTCTTCTCTTTCCACATTTACAAGATGCTTGTATGAGTGCGATGATAAACGATGTTGGTATACATGTCGTTCGCCCACGGCGAGCTATTTCCATTCGAGGTAGAATGACAAAACGGTCCGTTAATTGTGCTCATATCCAGTTAACCAGTGGTTAACCGCAGTTAATTGACGGTTTAGGCGATTAACCGAAGACTACCGAACGGTTAACCTCACACTTGACCTCACAGTTAACCACGATTAGTCGACGGTTTTGGACCGGTCCGAACGACATGGGATGCTAAACAACAGATGCATAATATTTTCATCCCATAGCAAATATAGAAATAAAAATAAAAATGAGGTCTCTCCCACTCCCCGTGCTCCTTTCGACTTTCGATAGTTGAGTTGTATGAATAAACATATGAAAGTGCGAGTACCTATTGATTAACGGATGTATTGAATAGAAAATCTTATAAATACGAAAGCTTTTATTATTGATCACAGAATGCTTACTGGAATGATTTGTTGCTGTATTTGACATGATGGTTTAGTCGCTAAAATCAGGGAGTATTTGTATTGAATAATAAATACAAATCTATTTTTTACTTTATTTTTTTATTTTTTTAAATGTTCGATAAGTTACAGCCTAGACAGTTGTACTGTATAGATGGACGTACGAGAAATAGTGGATTTTGACAAAATTGGCTCACGAGGAAGCAACTCCAACTGTCCGATCGCTATTTTCACGAAACACAGTGGACAATAGGTAATCGAGTGTGCTGAATCCGAATATCATAGTGGTATGGCATCTAGACCTTCAGAGACCGGTTTTCTAGAAAACCAGTTTTTCAGAAACTCTAAATGATAATCAAAACCTTTCTTAACGAAGCATGCTTGTAGTTCGCAAATTTCTGATTAAAATGAGACATTTCCCAGCTCTACACGACCTTTCGCTGCGAAGTTAGAGAATTTACAAGAAAAGCCCTGAATTGCTTTATTCTTATTTCTGGAGCTTTGAGCTGACAATGAACATTCAGGACTTTTCTTGTAAATTCTCTAACTTCGCAGCGAAAGGTCGTGTAGAGCTGGGAAATGTCTCTTTTTAATCAGAAATGTGCGGGCTACAAGCATGCCTCGTTAAGAAAGGTTTTGATTATCTTTTAGAGTTTCTGAAAAACTCGTTTTCTAGAAAACCGGTCTCTGAAGGTCTAGATGCCATACCATTATGATATTCGGATTCAGCACACTCGATTACCTAATGTCCACTGTGTTACGTGAGAAAAGCGATCGGACAGTTGGAGTGGTTTCGTCATCAGTTAAACTTTTTGCGATCTGAGAAAGAAAATAAACATTGCCCCCATGATCAGCTATGTGATAATCTATAGTCCATCTCCCTTTATAGTTTCCAACCCAAAACTGTGAAGAATAGGTAGATTTCTTTGATCTAAACGCATACGAAAAAAAGTAAATAGAGATTTTGGAAACCCGAAGAATTTTCTACAAGTTTTTTATACTAAGCTTTTTCATTCAAAGTCTCACTTTAGAGTAATACTGAAAATTGAATTTGTATTAATTTGTAAACAAATTCTGTGTGTAAAAATAATACAGAAAATATATAAAGGAAAAATAACTCATACACAAGTGTTGAAATGTAGAAAAGAATCATCTCCGCAAAATGATGTGCGTTCTCGTCCAGCTGAGCCTTGCAATAAAATTTTATCTACACGCACGTTAGTCAAACTTAACTGCTTGATTTAGATCTTTCTATCACAAGATTTCTACACTTCAAATATGGCTTAACATTTCAAAAAATATTATCAAAAAGGTAAGATACAATCTCGAAGTGAAAAGCGTCCCTCATCTTCTCTCTTTTAATAATGTGAAAACTTGCGAGTATTATGAGAGCAGAATGCACTCTGAAGAAAAGCACTTAACTAAGAAAACTCCAACGTGCCGTGATTGTTGAAAATTAATTGTTGAACAACAGTGATTTCGCCTATGCCATGTGTCCAGACAAAATGACATAGAAATTAGCGCGAGCAGTTCTACATTTTTTCCGCCATTCAATAGAGTTTTTTAGGCTGATGAGGAATATGCAATGTTTAATTTTTCGAAATGTTTCTTTCATGTAGAAAAATCGAGAAAAATCGAACGACATCAAAACTCAGAAAAACGATGATGTTCAAAAACATTAAATTTTTCGACTTGGATTTTTGACCGGAACGTTCAAATTATTTTTTTCTCATTCAGCGTTGAAAACTGAGTTAACAAATAATATTAGATCGATATCGGATGTAAACGCCTGTCTACCATGGACATCCGAAAAAGTCGTAATTCTCAATTTTCTCCAACAAAGCTCAACTTCCATGGAATAAAAATATTCTGAAAATAACGATGATTTTTCAACGTGAAAATTCGATAAAAATCATAAGTTCTCGGATAGGATAGAGATACATCTCATTTGGTTCGTTTTTTGATCCTAATTCCAAATATGACTTTTTTATTTTATAAAAGTTGAGCTTTCTCAATTTTCTCCAACAGTTACGACTTTTTCGGACGTCCGGAGTGGGCCACATTGATGCTGAGTGCTGAGTGAGAATTCGATGCTGAGTGCTAAGTGGGACCTCTGTAACTCCTCAACCATTGGGAATGAAAACCTGAATGGTGCATAGCTTGAAAGGGAACGATGTGATGGTTCCAGCTGACGGCTCGGAACGCAAAATGCGTTGTTTAGCCTAGGAGTGGCAAGCTTGGGCATTTTGCTTGGCATGGCTTACCATGTCAAACCTGGGCCGAAGCCTTAATTTTTTTAATAGGTCTACTTCCTAAAGTGACCTCTGTCGAATGCTGAAAACCGCAAGATTCATTGAAAAGTTATTTAAAAGATTTCGGGGACCACTCTTTTTTTTGAACGGATAATAATATGTGCGATATCAGTGTTGGCTTTTCGATATCGCTACTTCTTCTCGCTTATCTCCGTTGCGTCTGCCAACCGGAGACACAAAGTGAAAGTAATTATGTGCACTGCTCTTTCTTTCCCTCCATAATTACGTGCAGAAGATAACAAGGAGAACGAAACTTGTTTCTTTGTGCGTGAAGCACGACTCATATCTCAACCTTGTTGTTCCTGTAAATAATACCCGAAGTGCACACCACTCTTAAAATGCAACTACGTCGATATGAATGAGTCGACGACAGTATTGTGAGTCCTTGCTCGATACTTTCTGAAAATTTTCCTACCCAAAACACTCGAACGTTGGAAAATGTCAGGGTGGAATATGATGAGGGCATAAATATGATTTAAAGATAAATGTTCTCTATAAAACAGTTATTTGGGTACTTCGCAATAAGAGCTTTTCATGGCTTTGTAGAACAGATCCTGGGCTACAAGATGGATACATTTTGGCCGAAAACCCATCGGAACTTTTCTAAACGAAAATTAATTGAAAATTTTCTTTTTATCACGCTTTGGTGTGTTTCGATCGTAGCTACACGCTAGCAAAAAACACTACTCATTAGCGCGTCGCGTTCTCCAATTATTCAAAAAACAACAGAGTTCTATTGCAACACCAGTTACTATTGCTGCCATTCGCTTTCGGCGGCAATAGTAACTAGTTAAGTTCGGTCTCATTGTCTTAAATATTCGAGGTGAACATCTATCGTCTTTGATATTTGTAATGAAATGTTGCTCAAAAGTTAAAACATAGATGCGGTTGCCGGACGAGAATAGTTCGTATCTATTCGATCGATCTCAGATAACCATGGGGCTTGACATTTGGTCTGGGCATCACAGATATGCAACGTCACACGTTTCGCACAGCGTGCATTTCTCAAACAGTTAGTTTTATTAAAAATAAAATAAGACTAATATATCTTTGACAATTTTTTAGTTGAAGCCATATCTTATCAATGAATACAAAGGTGAAAAGTATACCGAGCAACAAAAATAATATATTTTTATCTCTTCTTAATTATTGCTAAGTGCCTTTTTATTATTCTTAGGAAAAGGTGTTTGTATGCGACTTTTCGTCTTACAAGTGAACATCGTCTCTAGAAATAGACGTGATCGCTTCAGTGCCTTTGAACTGTTTTTCCTACAATACTTTAATAATTTATTCTTCATTTCCTTTTGGTCTCTCATCGTTAAGGCACCTTGATTTTAAACAGTAGTAGAAGTTTGAAAGGTCTTTTAAAACTTAAATGTTCAATGTGCTCACAGGGTCTCAAGGCTTATACTTCATCAACCGTTTACTAGTTGACTTTGACTGTATTTTAGAATATAACCGGAACTTAAAGACCATTTTTAGAGTTATCATGTCTCTTTCATCATTCTACCAAGAAACAGATGAGTTCATCATGAACATTCTAAACGAATCACGACAACAAGAAGCAGTGGAATTATTAACGCGTGCCTTTACACAAAGACTTTTGTATAATGTCAACAATGTTGGTTCATACATTATTAAACCATACCAAGATAAATTATTGTCAGTCGTCATCCCAGAAAATCTTTCACTAATGGTAATAGAAAAGAAAACAAATAAAATTGTTTGTGTAGTAATCTCACATGATTCTGAGACCACCATTGATCTTAAAGGATTGCCCACAAATTCATACAGAGATTCAATAAAATCGATATCCAAGAAACTCTGGGATACATTCGAAATGAAGAAGAAGACTATTATCGGTACCACTACTAAAATTGTTGATTTTGATCTAATGGCAACAGCCGACGGCTACGAAGGAAAAGGATTGATTATATGGACTATACGTTCGACAATTGAACGATGTAAACAGAAGGGTTATGAAATAGCTGTATGTGAAACTAGTTCACCTATTACGCGACACATTATGTTGAATAAAATTCAAGGTACACAAATCGCATGTGAAACGGATATTGTGAAGTCTGCAAGTGATGATGAGAGAGACATGTTTAATCAGTTGGGATCTTCATGGATGTTTACAATTTTTGTGATTACGCTATAACCGTTACTGAAAACTCATTTATTATACTGTATCTTAGCTTTTTAGTTTTCTCAGAATTTCGCGTCTGAATTTTCTAGGGGTTTATATATGTAGAAGTCGCTATTCTGGAGAATTTTATTCTTCTTCTCTTTTGCTCTATCCCATCGAACTGAACAGTATATTTTTATAATTACATGATCTTTTTCTGTGCTTCGTTTGTTCACGATGAGCCAAATTCTAAGAACCGTGGGATTGTGCGAGGTGTGTACTCTTCCTGGTAAATGAAACATCGTCCAAAGCTGCCGTCTTCTCGAAGATAATCGATAAAGAAAACGATTGACATTACTGATTTTTCCAGGTGGTTACTTGAAAATATTCATGTATTGTATGTTCGTGTAAAAGATGGATAAGTGTTCGGGTCGGTCGACGATTGTCAGAGTTACGTTTAAACTAGAAATTTAGATTTCCTCCGGAATTTAGCAATCTGTTTGACCTTAAATCCTGACGGGATGTTTCTTAGTGACTTACTCTCACAACCCGGCTCCCACTGCAAAGAAAAGATGTGCCTGTTTCGCAAAGTTTTTCTGAATGATGGATGACACACCAGAATTTAGGGTCCTAAACTCTGTTGTATGTCGCTAAATTCTGACGGACATATACTCCTGTAAGAACATTAGCGCAAAATCGACTTTTTATACGGAGAACCGAATCGGTTCAAATTTTTTTTCTGAAGAGCTTATTATATGAATCGACGGTCAGCAAAGTATCTCTTGATTCAAATCACTTTTCGCATTTTGGGACGAATAGTAGCGTTTTAAGTGGCGCCACTATTCGTGCCAAAATGCGAAAAGTGATTTGAATCAAGAGATACTTTGCTGACCGTCGATTCATATAATAAGCTCTTCAGAAAAAAAATTTGAACCGATTCGGTTCTCCGTATAAAAAAGTCGATTTTGCGCTAAAGTTTTTCACCTAGCAGAATTTAGGATTCATACATTGAGCTTACTTTGCTTACAGATCTTCGTCAGAATTTAGTAAACTACAGTGTCCTAAAAAACCTGGTTTGATCACTGTACAACCATTGCTGACACCAGCAGAATTTAGGATACAAATGTTTGCTAAATGCTGGTGGTCCAGTAGTTCGGTTTACCTTGAAGGTAGGTCCGAAAGACTCGTTTCAGTCTATGAAGTCTGTCCGAGCCAACTATTCGATGAAAAATAAAACTTCTTTTACTTTTATTTGTAGAATTCATTTACACATTTATTCTTCTTACCCGCTGGTACCAACAATCTTTTGATAAGCATAAATGTGTTGTTTAGGATTCTGACTCACAAGGAAATAACTGTCCCTGATATCTTCGTAACTCGAGGATATCAATTATTCTCAGACTTATCGAATTCTGCCACAGCCAGTTAAAATCACCAGCTCCTAAGATGGCTCACTATCCCACTTGCGTCACTTTTTTAAAGGCTCACTCTTAAGCCTTTCGTATTTTAGAGAAAAAACTTTGGAACTTCTAAAGAAAGGACCGAACGGTACTTCCATTTAGGTCAGCCCACCATTACATGACATAACAGCCGAAAAAATTTCAAGACTCTTCTCGTGTAAAGCATAAAAAAATAGAATCCCATATTTGTTCACTAAAAAAGTCATATTCTACTGATACATTTTCTGAAGGCAAAACAGAACAAAAAGTTCTTGCATTATAGATAAAAATGAAGTTAAAGGGCTGATTAATCCAATGAAAAAAGAATAAGGTGTATATCTATCTTTCTCTTTGAGTACGAAGCCTATCTTTGAAGACCCTTTTCAAAAACAGTCAACTTTCAGGCCCTCCTAAAGTACTCGGATAGGACAGAGATACACATCTATCGATTCGATTTTTGATCCTGATTTCGAATATGATATTTTTATTACATAGAGGTTGAGTTCTGAGCCAAAGGCACGAAAGGGTTAAACTATCATGATACTATCCGTGCCCTTTTCAAGATTATTATAAATGCGGCGCGTCAGAAGAAGAAGTGCGTCGGATGTGCTTGAAATAGTTGGAAAACCGAACTGAACTGGAGAGAAAAAATAATGTATTGTTAAAAATAACCTTCCTCATCAAGAACTAAAAAACGACGAAATTAGAACGAATTTTCTGGACAATAAATACTGAACATTATTTCGTTGAAATGCGCAGAGAGCGAGTATGATCGCGCTGGTTTTGGACTATAAATCATGTTCCACGATTTTCAATTTAAGATTCAGCTCCATACGTTCACTGATATTTTAATTCAAATATTTGGCTTTTCTAGGCGTATAATACCATACAAAATTAAAATACGTCGAGAAAAGATTTTAGGAACACTCGAAAACCATTTCCATCATCTGTGTACTGTTCTTCTGTGTTTTCCTTTCCTTTTGTTCTTCTCGCCTTTTCTATCTTCACTTATGCGCAGCTTTTGTAGAAATATAAACGTCGCAATTTATATGTTTCATGGAATGTATTAGGATTTAACGTTTGCCTTAAGTCGAAACGAGACTTCGCATTTATTCTATCAAATGAAAATGAACTTTTAGTCTTTTTCATGAGAATCATCGTTTCCGACTTTGTAAAATCCTTATAACTGTTCCAAAGTAAAACCTTTTGAATCGGAAGTTTCTGTGATATTCAAATATGGACAGTTCAATAACTTCCTTGTTGTTTATAAGTTATTTATTAAGAGAAGAATAAAATATTTATTTGTCCACTAAAAGAGAGAATAGGTTCTCATTATTATTGGTAAGAGCACAAAAACACATCACATAGATAAGCAAAAAACAGCTGAGAGAAGAAAAATATTAGATAACTATATTTACATCGAATGAGAGAATAAAAAAGAAATAAGAGCGTTTTGAAAGATTGACAACACAAACGCACAAGAGATAAGCACATTTTAAATAAAGAGAATGCTAAGTTAGAAAAATAAAATGGACGTTTCTTTTTTTCAAATCTTTTTGTTGTACAGATAAAAAGCATAAATGCACTATAAACAGAAGCACAGTGTCCCAAAAGTCCCTTGTGGAAAATATTTTTGAATTATTCCTGTTTCATTGAACTTAATCAATATTTTTTTTCATATGATGCATAACACTGTCAAATTTTTATTGATATGAGAACAGCCTACAAATATTGCTCAAAGATATCACCTTGGACAGAAATACAAAAATCCATTCTTTTGCGGATTTCCGAAAAAACATTGCACAATGTTTCTGTTTTTATCGCTTTGATTTCTCGAGTTATTCTCGTCTTTAAATCATCAATATCGTACACTCTCGTTTTATAAATGTTCGTTTTGACATGACCTCATAGAAGACTATGCAAGAACTGCATTTGAAAGATATACTTTTAGCTACATCTTTTAATAAATTATAGCGCTGGTTACTTGTTGGTTGCAAAGTGTTCCAATACTCTTCTGGATGATAGTGGACAATTTATGCACGGTATGTTATTTCAGTAAAACAGTATGTCGATCAATTTACAGTTACGAATTCAAATCGTGGTATTAATGGCTAAGTTAGAGTCTACCACAGCCGTCAGGAGACATTTACAACGGGAAAACGTGTCTGCTATTCCTTCAGAGAACACTATGAGAAGTCTTTATGCAAAATTTCTTGAAACCGGTTCGGTGCATGGTCGGTCAGGAAGGCCACCATCAGCAACCACAGAGAAACAAGATCAAATCGCTGAAGTTTTGACAAACAAGCCGATGAACAGTATTCGTGCCGTTTCCCAAGAAATGAATATGTCGAAATCAGTTGTTCATCGTAAAATGCGTCAGATATTGGGATACAAGCCGTACAAGATACATTTAACACAACAAATCTACGACGAAGATAAAGATTTACGTGTCGAAATGGTTGAAATTCTCTTGCCCAAATTTTCTAACAAGATGGCGTCCCGGTACATTTCTCAAAGGCAGTTCGTTCGTGGCTCAACAACAAGTTCCCTAGTCGATGTATTGGAAGAGGTGGACCCATTTCGTGGGCTCCGAGATCACCAGACCTCACCCCGTTGGATTTCTTTTTATGGGTCATGTCAAAACGGACATTTATAAAACGAGAGTGCACGATATTGATGATTTAAAGACGAGAATAACTCGAGAAATCAAAGCGATAAAAACAGAAACATTGTGCAATGTTTTTTCGGAAATCCGCAAAAGAATGGATTTTTGTATTTCTGTCCAAGGTGATATCTTTGAGCAATATTTGTAGGCTGTTCTCATATCAATAAAAATTTGACAGTGTTATGCATCATATGAAAAAAAATATTGATTAAGTTCAATGAAACAGGAATAATTCAAAAATATTTTCCACAAGGGACTTTTGGGACGCACTGTATATACTTATTTTGAAAGGCGTACACTTAGTGAAACTAAATCAAGATTTAAGGTAAGCGCTGGTTCTATACAAACACAGACAAATTTTGAATTCTATATGGTAGAAATTTGTTCTGTGACATTTGACTTATGCTCTGTTTTATTTGTTTTCGGTTCGTGGAAGAGGACAGAAAAGAAAACTTCCATAATACACTTAACGTTTTTTCCCAAGTTGTAAATAGTGGAATAAAAGAGCGGGTGATAGCCTTTAGTACTGTCTGTTTGTTTTAGTAGAATTTATTCTGAGAGACTTGAATAATGAAAAACTTAATAGATAAAATCGATACGGCTATTCGCGATCATGATTGTGAATTAGTTGAATATTTTTATCTTGAAAATGCTCAATTATTGGAGATGGTGGAACAACATCAGTTGCTAATCCACGCCTGTACGTTTGGTACAGTCGGTATAGTTCGAATTCTATTGCATTATTGCATAACGCATAAAGATTCGAACGATGCTAAAACTGGTTTCACGCCTTTGTTAGCTGCCATCAATAAACAACAATGGCCGATTGTCAAATACCTGGTCGAAGAGGTTCTAGTAGATGTCAACCGGACAGATTGTTATAAAAACGAATCTCCAATATTCTGTGCAATACGCCAATCGAATCTCAATTGTATTCAACTTCTCCTCGATCATGGAGCAAATGTCAATCATGTCAGTGATTCAGGAGAAACAACATTAGAATTAGCGTTGATGAAATCTGTAGAGAATAGACAATATGAAATAGTACAGGCACTGATTCAAAATAATTTCGATATCAAACAACATGGTTCGAGAGCAATATATCAATTTCTGAGCAAAGCCGACATAGATACACCTAACGAATATATAAATCAGATGGTAGTTTATCTACTGGATAAGGGAAGTTCGCCAGTCCACAACGATTCACTCCTTGTTCCTGCGTGTCGATTCAATATACCTACGATCATTCGACATCTGTTAAAATACAACAATGCCAACGAGTCATGTTTAATAAAAGCTATCGAGAGAGATTCTAATATCGACATCATTGATATTCTTCTAGAAAACAACTGCTGTGTCACTGCTGATATTATCGTCAAAGCGATTCAGCTCAATTCGATAGAAAACGTTCGATATCTCTTGACCAAGAGTAATATAAATGTCAATACTAGCATTTGCGGAAAAACGTTTCTGATGTATGCATGTCAGTATTCGACTATCAATATGGTTCAACTGTTGATTGATTTGGGCGGTAATGTATCGGTAAAGGATAATGATGGACAAACACTTCTACATTATGCAGCTCAGTCAATGTTGAATGCTGATGTCACACTGTTTCTGTTGATGACATCAAGCATTGATCCTGATGCCACAACTGTCGCTGGTTACACAGCTCTTGATCTTTGTATGCTGTCTGATATTGACGAATGCATAATAAGCTTCAACGGCTATGCACCACATGTGTTAGAATCGTTTCGTGACAATACAGTTCCTTCCGCATCAGATATGTTCGAGATTAAGCTTGTCGCGGACAAAATGTCAGCTCAACTGCTTAATGAAATCGTGCAAGAAATCGGACAAATGAATGATAGGTGATTCAACTTTGAGACCGTTGTTAAGTTTTCAGTTTTTTAAACGAGAAACTTCGATGCATTTATATGTTTTTTCAGTTTTTATACAGATTTCTGTAATAAAAGTTTGTCAGCATAAATTCTTTGCGTCTCGCAGGTGGAACTTTCCAACACAGTGACAACGCGTTGAAGAATGAAATTCTAGAGCAGCAAAACAAAACACTAAAACCAAGGAGGAAACTGCGGACTTTAGACTTGAGCGGACTTTGATAAGTCCAGCGGACTTGGGAGGACTTGACCGGACTTTAAAGTCACCAAAGTCCGCGCAAGTCGCGCTGACTGCCACATTCATGAGATAGTTAGTAGTCAGTATTTTAAGATGTTTTTTCTGATTGCGTTTGCATGATCCCCAGTGATTACCCTGTACTTTTAGCAGTATCTGAGATCTCTTTTTATGAGAAAAATCGATCAGACAAATTACAAAGGAGCAGAAGTTTTTACTTCAAAAATACATAGAAATTTAATATGCTCTATTTCTGAAAATGTGTCTGCTGAACTCTGGCTAGTCTGTCCGAC